TTTGGCGCCCATCCGGATAATACTCTTAGCTACGGAGCCGCTGTTCGGGCCCGTACTTTTCCTCACAGGGCCCTTCAGGCCCGTACTGCCTTTTTGTAGTGATTTGCTTACATCCCCATTTAAATTTTTTTACACATAAGATTTTTCCTACTTCATCTCATTCCCGACTTTCCTAATTTATCAGACCCTTGTGTTTCTATTTTCATCTTTCTTCTCTGTCCTTAACCACCCTTCCCGCTTATCTTTCCACCTGTTTCACAAAGTCATGATCTCTGTTTGTCCTCTCTTTCGGTTCTCATCTTTTTCACTTCCTCCTTCCTTTTTTTTTTTTCTTTTTTCCTTCTCCTTATGCACTGCGACCATCATACTGACGAGGTTCTGTCGCAGTGTTGAGTTAAGGCGTATACGACTTAATGGACCGAAACGTCTTGCTCTCATCTTCCTTAATCTGCACTACTACTTTCTCTTAACTCCTTCACATCGTACCATCTGCATTTCCGGGGTCTACCTGGAGGCTGCAATTTGCTTACCCCTTTTTCTCAGAAGTCGGGTACACCTTAACAATTTTTTTAAAATACAATTTACAGTGTGCTTGTTCGTTGTACATATGGTTGTTGTGGGTTGGGAGGTTTACTCCTTCCTGAAACAGTCTCAGCATATTAACTTACATAAGTTTTGGTGGATACTTCGCAATAATAGGAAGCTCTAAGTTCGGTGGCAAGACTTTGTCCCACTTTCGTTGTGATCAGGCTCTGGTACATCTGCGGGTCTTTGCTTTCCAGTCTGAAACCGAAGTTAATGACTGTTTTTGTTGTCATCAAAGTGAATTCGATGAGAAGAAAATAATGTAAAATCCGATTACTTTTTGAATTGGCTTCTTGGCTTGTATGGTGGCTTTGTTGTTGTGTCTGAAAATATTTGAAAACAAATAAGTACGTAAAAGTTAAATGAGCTAAACAGATTGCGGAAGATAATGTTTCAGCTCAGTTTCTTTTCTTCCCATTCGAATTCTTTCCAGCTTCTTCCGCAAATGTTCTAGGACGGTTTAAGGCCATTTAGCAGCTGTGCATGATGCATAGCTTTTACTGCACCTATTTCAGATTAGTTTAAAGTTATTTAGCCACGATCTGTCGTAATTCCTTTTTTTTTCTGAATTTCGTTTTTTACAGTTTGTTAATGTACGCATCTGCCTACTTTGTATACTTCATGTACGTGGGAACATAATCCATCCTGCATTGTAAAATTATTTCTAATAAGTTTATTTCTTTTTTTGTTAAAAAATGAATTGTTTGCGAATTGTATTAGCGCTTTTTCCTTCTACATATAAAGGTTTAATAATCCAAATTTGAGGTTATTTGGACAGTAATTAATGGACAGGCACCCGAGCCAAACTTTTCTCAAAGAAAATCTGCTTTGAAACCCTGAATCCCAAACAACAAGAGAGATGCAGTCCAAAATGCCGTGCCTGTTTTCATCCTTGCGATCCCATTATTTGCTTGGCACATTATAAAACTTCACAAAACGGTGATAAAAAATTTGACTAGCCCTACAAGAGGATTATTACAAGACAAACTTATTAAAAATCTTACCAACTTCAACTTCTCCCAGCTGCTTTTTGAACAGCAGTTGACGGACGTCACGCGGGACACGAGTTTCGATGCCGGTCGCACAAATAATGAACGGTGTATTGCGGTATAAACGACGTATAGTTGGGACCCACTGAAGTTATTAAAAGTTTTTATTCGACGTTTTTCTACTCATATTATTAACATTGGATGTGCTAGCGGGCATGGTGCAATAGCAGGTAGCACTGCTGTCGTGTTGAATGTCGAGGACTTGATTCTGCTACGGGAACAACCAGTCGATGTACGATTCGTTCATTCGTTTCGATAGCAAATCGGTACTAGCATTCCAGAGGATCACCACGGGCTTGCTTTTTATGTATGCCCCATAAATGGAGGCCGTCAGTAGCCTTGCCAGCGAGTTGCTCGCAAGTTGTTTTCGAGCGCCTTTGCCTTCATGAGAGAAGGTGCGGAGGAAATTTGACGTTCGCTGCTCAATTGGCCTTATTTTTCCAAATTGACGTGTTCATAAACTGGTCCATGTCAATAAAACATCTGACTTACGCATGCTGAATGAGAACTCACGTGAATGAGAGATCACTGGTTGTGACTTTCTATTCTGCTGGCCAAACTTGGGGTCAAGGAATTACTAATACATTTCCAAATTTTCATCGCATTTGTCGATAATTGTGCAGCAGAAGAGGAAGACGTAAAACTCTTATGTGTCCTGATCCCGTACTAGGGTTGCCGGATCCTTCCGCGTCCTAGAGGAAATCTTCCGACCCAACCTTTTGATGAATGCTTTCGAACTGCCTCAAGCTTGCGACGTGGTAGAAAATGATAATTGCGTCCAAGTGGCTGCAGCGAATCATTGTCGGGATACGTTCGAAGTCGGAGATGCGTTCCGCAGACATCAGCTCCAGCTTGAAATAATGTGTGTTTTGTAGATTTTGCAATTCAGATGTCGAAAATGAGAAAAAAATGCGGACTCCACAGCTGTGAAGGTAAAATTATACTAAATCCTAAGCTGCAACGAACCAGGCTTGCCGGTGCGATCATGCATTTTTGCATTAAACTTGAAGCAATCAGATCGTTAACGGTATGAATGTTTGCTGCTTGTATTTAGTTTGTGTGATCATTAGCGTAAATCATAGTAAATTTTGTATAAATGGAAATGAGAAATTTCAGTCTAACGATCGTTCATTGAAAACCACTAGGCTGCTCAGTGGCCAATTTTCCTGCCAAAACTTTGACGTGAAACGTCACGCCTGGGGGCTGAATTCCTTAAGTTGTACATAGGGAACATCCCCTTAAATTTCCAACTTTCCAACTCTTCTGATAACCGGTTAGCGGAAGAGTTGGAAAATTGGAAATTTTCACTTGCCCATACGTGGAAACCACGCATACGCGGGGAGTGAATTTGTAATCTTTAATTTATATGCGGACAGCAAACAGCCGTGCGTGAGAAGGAAACTTCTTAAAATTTCAGCTCTCTGGCTCTGTTTAGCATCTTCCGTGTCAAAGTTTTCGCATATCCCTGCGTGAAACTCGGACGCGCTAACGAGCTGGATTTGAAATCTTTTGGTACATGAATGGGGAACATTCCCCGAAAGCTTCATTTTGTAGCTTATCTCGCTCCCAAGTCAACAAATTTCCCACCAAAGTTTTCACTTGTCCGTACGTGAGTCGCACGCGTGAAAGTTGGTATAACGTCCCTGTGGCCGCACTTGGACAGGGAGCACACTGGCAAAAATTCAGCCCCGCAGCTTGCCCAGTTGCCAAGTAGAAATACCAAGAAAGACGAGCGCGCACACACACACACACACGCACACACTCACTCACACACACACACACACATGCCACAGACAGGGCCGTTGTAATATGCCTTTTTGCTACTCGTTACAATATTCTAGCGCTGCATAGCAAAACGCTTAAAAACTGTATGAAAAGGAATGTTTCAGCCCATGAAATCGTAAACTTTGATGCCACGCAGCTCAAATTCTGATTCTCCAAATTGTTGTTTTCTGATATTGGTGTAGCTAATCCGTGAACTACGATTCAACGTCATTCTGCGGCGAGCTGAATGAGCGGGGGTTGCCGAAAGAAAAGAGCAGCTGTGATGCAAAAAAAGCTGAAGGAATGGAGGAGCGCGGGGTGAGGGAGGGAAAGGGAGGGGGAAGGGGGAAACGCCAAGTAGTTGTGCGTCTCATCCAGTGTTACCTGAATGCCCTGAACAGTGACAACATTTGAATCGAGCACGTCAGTTCGCTCATAAACGGTCCCTTTCTGAAATGTGCATCATTTCATTACTCAAGCACTCGCAAGTGTAACTGCAACCAGTCCTTGGAGATGAGTAAGAGGACTCTTTCAAGTCAACACGTTCTCTTCCGATTACTGATTCGATGAGATAACTGTACCGAATGTCAATGAGATTGATGAACAATATAATCTGCCCAGAGTCTCGCGTACATCTCAAGATGGCAACTATTAAAATTTGGCTCGGTTTAAGGCAAGATGAGGAGTACGAAACGATTAGTGATAATGAGATGGTTGTAAAGGGCAAGGGCGGGGAGGAGGGAGGCGAGAGGGGGGGGGGGGGGGGGGGGGGGGGGGGGGGGGGGGGGGGGGGGGGGGGGGGGGGG